ATAGATAGATAGATAGATAGATAGATAGATAGATAAACAGAAAGAAGGAGAGCGAGACATCGAGCGAGAGCTGGGACTCGGTAACGCCCATCCTTAAGGAGTCGTTCCTTTTATGGATTGTGCTAATGTAATGCACAATTGCTACGAGTAGATGCACGTGACCGCAATCAAGAGGCTGTAAGGCCAGGGTTGTGGCAAAGCTATTTATTTAAAAGTTAAAAAGGCCGCCTTGCCAACACCACTGATAAGAGAAGTATTTTTAATTTTGCTCCAATTTCGCCCCAAAATCCCAAGAGGTAGGTGAGATTGAGCGACGAATGATATGAATAAATTATCCGCAAAGCATACTTGAAAGTTGGATTCAAGATGACCTATGAGGGTGGCGGCCAATCGGTGGACAGATGAAGATGCTGCTTGGAGCCCGTTCAAGTGTACACGACACTGGGACGCTGCGTCCACATAAGCTAAGTATTGGAAGCCGAACGAATGGCAAATGGACAGTGTGTCTAAGTGCAGACCACCCTCGTCTTCATTCCCACAACCAGTTGGTTCACACTGGCCGTCTAGGAAAGTGCATCTATGGCATGGGTGTTTCTCACGACACTTCCCACTACACATACACAAGTGCAGTTAGTGGTGATGCGCGGTGAATAGGTCCAAAATATCAGGCACCAGTTGGAGACTCTTAAACTTGCAACCTCAAGCTCGAGGTGGACACGGGGCATGATAAGGCGACTGTCGAAGAGAAGCAACCAGTGTGCCGAAAAACCGTGTGGTTTGTTTATCTCTTCAAGAAAGAACAAGGCTCTAATGAAAATGAAAAGAATGAGTTAAGAGGTGCAAGTCACCCGGCAGCAGAAATACTGAAAAACGATAGAGCTTGGAAAAATATAAATGAAACTCAAGAAGGAGCGAAATTGAGAATATACCAGGCTAAAGATGAATGAAAAAGCAGAAAAAGCGTAGCAAAAGCCAGAAATAGGAAGATAGTAGAAGGGAAAGAGTAGAAATGGAATAAGAAAAGTATGTGCTATTTTTAAGCAGATGACAACGAACTACGATTCAAAACAAAACTAAGCGTCCACATGCAAGCTAGCGGTAACATATGTGGGAGCATGTTACATTCATTTGCAACCAGGAGAGATGCAAAAAGGCGACTGCCATAAAACAATGGGAAAATAAAAATAGGAGTAGTACTGATAAAAGCATAGATGAAAATTATGCATCATGAGACAGGCATACTACTCACCAGAATAGAATAAGGCGATACGTCAGAAGGAGTGCCAAGTCCGAGTGGCGTGGCGCTGGAGTAGAAGAGTTTTCCCTGTTGAAAAATGGTAAACAGAGTGCCTTGATGGGTTATTTTTAAAGATTATGTTATATGTGATATAATCATCAACCTCCTTTAGAGGCTAAACGACTTGAGTATGCGCACAATCTGACCCTGTTGGTGCTGTGCAGATATACGAGGTGGAAACTTTGGTTGGTCGGCTGTGATTGAAATTTCAGTCATCATAGACCTCGATTTCGGCCAAAAAATGCTGGTATCTTTCGTTTTCAATTAACAATAATAATTATATTCACCATATTTCGTTTAAGGTAATGAAGGACTGGTAGTTGAAGCTCACCATAGCCTTTCTCCTCATAAGCTACTCCCTGGATGAGAATAGCTTTCGGGAAGAAAGGCTACGTGAAATTCAATAAAAATCCGAGACTTATTAATGTCACTATAGGAAAATTTAACTACCAGTTTTTCATTATCTTAAACGAAATACGATGAATACAGCGCTTATATCAAATTAAGAAGTAATGAAAGTCGAAACATACTCTCTACCACTTCGTAGACGAGTTCGTTGAACTAGCTTTGTGTGGGCTTGCGAGCAAAAAAGTGTTACTAAGTGTGTGTGTGTGTGTTTACGACTATGCGAAGCCACGAGTGATGACCGCAAATAAATGCAAAACAAACCGTCAAAGGAATTAGTATTCAAGAGGATGCATTACTAAGTTTTGGGTCGTAAGAGGGTAGTCTGTTCCGGTTGGTGAACAGCATTTGGCCAAACTATTTTGTTCGTATGTAAATCTCGTAACTAGTAATGAGACTGTACTCAATATGCCGTCTCCTTTCAGCAAATTACACGACCTCTTCTCTTTTACTTAGCCTGTCCAGAAAGCAGAAATAATCTTCAGACAAACCGAAAAGTTGAAGGGCAAAATTGTTTTCTGCGATTTCCCAACTCTTCAGCAGGTAAGAACATCCTTGCATTGAGCCATTTATGACATATAAAATGAAGAGTCGCCCCTTCACAAGAATGACTAGAAAAGGCATCTAAACAGTCTGATCGTATTGTGGATGAGGAAATGGCCTGAATGAAGAAAGTTATGAAAGCGGTTTCGCCCTGTTTTCGCAACTTACTCATGTTGTCAGGGCGATCTAGACGGAAACACCATGTCGGAAGTCCTCTGTTGCAGTAGATATGATAATTCCTATCATCGGATCGTTAACCTAATGCATTTACACACATTTGGTAATCAGCATCGCCAATGTGAAAAGTCTGGAAATTTACCAAATCCACGGTTCGACGATGGGAATTATCATAAGTACCATGGCAGAGGACTTAGAACAAAGTACATCTGTTTAGATCGCCTTGACAACACGACAAAGTTGCGAAAACGAAGTCAAACCACTTCTATGCAAGAAAGGGAGACTGAAACATTTTGGTCTTTACATTTGCGACTAAACTAAGGAAAGTTGTGGGCTTCTTTATAAGAGACATTTATTGCCAGCATTTTTAGGACAAAGTAGTAGTGACGGCAAAGCAAGTGAATAAACAATGAGCAGCTTTCTAGTTGTCTCCAATTCTGTTTCACACAGTTTGGCGAATTCAATTCCGTACTGAATCACAAGTATTCAAAGCATCCTTGATGCCTATGAAATAATTAAATATTTCCTTTGTTAGTGACCTTATCCGAGAAATGGCCATGATTACGATGAAAAGGGTCGTAGCACAGAAGATTTCCATAAAAGGTTTACCAGATAACAAAATCCAATCATTCACTCAAAAGGAGTTAGTCATGCAATTTTCTGTGATGTTGTAGATGGTTGCGTAGGTCAGAAAAATGTCTTCGGTAAAATTTATTTCAATTTTGCGGAGATGCGAAGTGACCCTTAAATTAGCTCTCACTATTCAGGCGTCGTTCACGATGTCTACGGGACCAGATCGACTGAGTTCCTCCGTAATTTGCTCATTTCATGTCCCCTTGGCCAACTAGATTGGATCGGATTGAGTTAACTACTTCCGACCAGACAATGAAGCCATGCATCCAACTTGGTCGAGCTATTTCTGATCCCCTTTCTCGTTGCAAGCTCTCTATCACACAAAGGCTGCAGCGAAATCACATGCACATGCACACTCCCATTCATACAAATAGGTATGCATACGCTGCACATACAAAATCTGTCAATTTCGTCTTCGGTTTCCTTCGGAGCAAGAAAGATTGTAGGTTTTGTCGGGGAACGTTAGCCGATCTTTTCTGGTCCAAACAACAAACTGGTTGAGACGGTGGTCTTGTTGGTCGCTATTTTGGCTCTCAAAGATGTGTCCTCTTGGCATCAAGCGCTCTCGTGAGAGAAGCGGAAAAGTTATCCTGCGGAGGTGACTTTGACAGCAACTTCCTTTATAATGACTAAAAGCACAGTGAATTCTTGAATGATGCCTTTCTTTTCGCTTTTGTGCTGCTCTAAAAGACTATCATGAGACTCGAAAATGCAAAGGTGAAGGATTTTTAGGTTATAGGCAGATTTACAAGACTAATAGTAGATAATATTTATGAGATGGACGAAAAATAAGTAACGTAGTCAATTGCTATAGCAAATACAACTTTGCTTCACCGGCAATCCCACCACAGAATGTGATATGGGAAAATTTCTGGTCCTCCTTGAAATTCAAATTGGCCCTGTCAACAAAGAGCATCCATGAAAGTGTGGTATAGTGGTTAACTGGTCGAGATTATACGTTGCACTTTCATGGTTCGAGTCCCGCCAGGGATGCTGATGAGACCGTGGCGAGTTCGAAACTGCAATCTATTACTACTTGGATTATAATAACTTATGGGAAAGCAAGTGCATGCGTAGTCTACTCATATAGTCGTGGGAAAACTCACATATCAGTACCATTATCACCACATGAGATAAATACATCTCATATGAAGGTGGAAGGTGACGTAGATCATCCTTCGTCACCCACGCGTCCGTAAACTAAGAACATTGGATGTGGTATAAAGCTTTTGAGCTGGCTTAGGACGTCCAGAGGTACAGCATTAAAATACAAAAAAGTATCAAAAAAAACCGAGCCCCGCCTTCTGCCATACAAATTTCTCATGTCTCCATTGGAAATCCTTTAAATAGTACATACATTAAAATACCCTGTTTATTTAAGTTATCACTAGGACAGATGGGATACTTTTATAAGCAAAAATATTCAAAAGGAATAGGTTTCAAATCTATCAGTGGCTCTTTCATAAGAT